TTGTTCTATAGTTTCCTTTTTTTGGCACGTGTACTGTCTCTGTTTTGGACCAGGCACTATCAATGAAAACACTTGAAAGAGATGAGCCATCTTGGTGGCCTCTCTGAGGTAGGTGCAATGACTTAATTTGCTCTGGATGGCACTTTGTACCTAATCAAAAGTTTATTAATCCCTCATACTTTATCCAAAAATTAATTTAAAATGGATCATGGACTTACATGTAGAACATAAAACTAGAAAAATTTTAGAGAAACACATGGGAGAAAATCTTGGGGACCCAGGGCTTGGTGAATGGTTTTTAGACATGACACCAAAAACAAGATCCATGTAGTAGGCTGAACAATGGTCCCCCTAAAATGTCCATGCCCTACTCCCTGAAACGTGTGATTTTTGTACCTTACGTGGCCAAAGGGACTTTGCAGGTGTGACTAGGTTAAGAGTTGGGGAGATTATCTTAAATAATATCTGCGGGCCAAATGTAACCACGAGAGGCTTTATAAGAGGGAAGCAGGAAGGTGAGAGTCGGAGGTGTGAGACAGAAGCAGAGGCTGTAGTGATGCCTTTGTTGGAAAAGGGTCATGAACCAAGGAATGTGGACAGTCTCTAGAAGCAGGAAAAGGCAAGGAATGGATTCTCTCCTGGAGCCTCCAGAAGGAACACAACCTTGCCAACACCTTGATTTCAGCCCAGTGAGATCCTTTTTCAGGCTTCTGACCTCCAGAATTGTAAGATAATAAATTAGTTGTTTTAAGCCACTATGTTTGTGGCAATTTGTTGCAGCTGCAATAGAAAACTGACACAATTCATAAAAGAAAGTTTTGGTAGATTGGATTTCACCAAAATTAAAAATATTTTCTCTGCAAAAGACCATGTGGGAGGATGAAAAGACAAGCTACATACTGGGAGAAAGCATCTGCAAGCCATATATTTAAGAAAGGACTAGTATCTAGAATATATAAAGAACTCTCAACAGTAAAAATCTAATCAATCCAATTAGAAAATGGGCAAAAGACATGAAAAGGCATTTCGCGAAGAGGATATATAGATGGCAAATAAGCACATGAAGAGATGTTCAACATGATTAGCCATTAGGAAAACTGTAGGTTAGTGCCTGACAATTAGCTTTTTTGATTGTAATGCAAGTGCCTGGCATTAAGCTTTTGATTGCTGAGGCATACATTTTAAAGACATCCATCTTGAATAAACACATTGCCAGCTACACAATGAGATTAAGAGCCAGACTGCCCTACCCATGAAGTTCCGCTTTTAGAAAGCCCTGGGTGGCCTAGATAATGACTGCTTGAGTGACCCTGCTTTTCCTTTCCTGTGCTTTAATTCTCACTCTTATGTTTTAAGTTCACCAACAAAGGGTGAACTCATGAAACCCTAGGCACCCCACCCTCAACCTCAATAAAGTCAGAACCCCAGGTCTGCAAGCTCTCTTTCTCTCTACCCATGACCTTGCTGTGTGGCTCTGGCATGCCATGTACCTTCCAAGACTTGTGAGTAATAAACCTTGTGTTTTCAAATTTCCCTGATGGTTGTTGCTGAGGTGCATCTTGCTATCATAACAAGAACCACAAGAGCCAGTCCAGCCACAGCCCTGCCTCCAATGGGAGAAATGTCTGTGGGAGCTTGCCCAAGTAGTATGGGCCCAGGTGAGTGCCCTCAGGCATTTCTAGCCATAGCATCGCTATTGATAGGCTGAGACTGACCCAAAACAAAAATGCAAATTAAAACTGTAATGAGATATCACCACACATGTATCAGAACGGCTAAAATAAAAAACAGTGACAATACCAAATACTGGCTAAGAGGCGGAGAAATTTAATCCCTCGTATACTGCTGATGGGAATGTAAAGTGGTACAGCCACTCTAGAAAATAGTGTGACAGCTTCTTATAAAACTGAACATTCAATTACCATATAGCCCAGCAATTGCTCTCTTAAGCATTTATCCCAGAGAACTCAAAACTTATGTTCATGCAAAAACTTGTACATGGATGTTTATAGCACTTTTGCTTGCAATAGCAAAAAACTGAAGACAATCCTGATGTCCTTCAGTGGGTGAATGCTTAAACGAACTCTGGTGCATCCAGACCATGGAATACTACTCAGCAATAAAAAGGAATGAACTATTGTTATATGACACCTTGGATGGATCTTAAGGGCATTATGCTTAGTGAAAAAAGCATGAGTACATGCTGTATGATTCCATTTATATAATATCCCTGAAATGACAAAGCTATAGAGATGAAGAATAGATCAGTGATTGCCAGGGGACAGGGCTGAAGGTGAAGGTGTGTGATTATACAGGTGTAGTACAAGGGAGTTTTTCTGTGTTGATGAAACAGTTCTATATCATGATTGTCATAGGAGTTACACAAATCTATATATGGGATCAAATTGCATAGACATACATGTACGTACACATACACACTCACACACAAATGAGTATAAAATGCGTATAAAAATGGCAAAAACTGAGTTAAGGTCTATAGTCTACTTAACAGTATTGTACCAGTGTCGATTTCCTGTTTTGGTATTATACTACACTTATGTAAGATGTTACCATTGTAGGAAGCTAGCTAAAGTGTCCAACAGACGCTACTTTTGCAACTTCCTGTGAATCTACAATCATTTCAAAATATTTTAAAAATATTTGCAAAAGCATTTATTGTGATTTTTTTTTTGCTTTGATATAGTTCATACTTTTTTCCTTACACTAAAATTTTTCTCAAACATTACGTTTTCATTGAGATATAATTCATATACCATAAAGTTCACCATTTTAAAGTGGACAATTTAGTGGGTTTCATTATATTCACAAGGTTGTGCAACCATCACCGCTATCTAATTCCACATCTTTATCACCCCAAAAAGAAACCCCATACCCATTAACACTCATTCCTCTTTTCCCTCTTCCTCCAGTCCCTGACAACCACTAATCTACTTTCTATCTCTCTCTGTCTCTGAATCTCTATATTTCCCTATTTTGGACATTTCATAGAAATGGAATCATACAATACATAGCCTGTGTTTCTGGCTTCTTTCACATAGCATAACATTTGCAAGGTTCATCCATGTTGTAGCATGTGTCAGTACTTCATTCCTTTTTATGGCTGAATAATATTCCATTACATATACCACATTAATATACCACATTTTGTTTATCCATCCATCAATCGCTGGACCTTTAGGTTGTTTCCACTTTTTTGCTATTACAGTCATGCATCACTTAATGATGGGGCTACATTCTGAGAAATGTGTCATTAGATGATTTTGTTGTGCGAACATCAGAGAGTGTACAAACCTAGACGGTATAGCCTACTACACACCTGGGCTATATGGTACTAATCTTATGGGACCACCATCATATGTGCAGTCCATTGTTGACAGAAACGTCATTATGTGGTGCATGACTGTATAAATAGTTGTGCTATAATCATCCATGTACGAATTTTTGTGTGACCATGTGTTTTCAATTCTTTGGATATATATGTAGGAGTAGAATTGCTGGGTTATATGTTTAACTTTTTGAGGAACTGCCAAGCTGTTTTCTGAAGGGGCTGCACCATTTTACATTCCTATCAGCAATACCTGGGGGTTCCAGTTTCTCCATATCCTCACCAATACTTGTTATTGTCTGTTTTTTTTTTTTTTTGTTATAGTCATCCTAGTGGGTGTGAAATGGTATCTCATTGTGGTTTTGATTTGCATTTCCCTAATGACTAATGATTTTGAGCACTTTTTCATTTGTAGATCTTCTTTGGAGGAATGTCTATTCAAATCCTTTGCCCATATTTAGTTGGATTGTCTTTTTGTTGTGGAGGTGTAAGTCTTCTTTATATATTCTGGATACTAGACTCTTATCGCATACATGATTTGCAAATTTCTCCTATACTGTGGGTTGATTTTTCACTTTCTTGATAGTGTTCTTTGAAGCACAAAAGTGTTTAATGAAGTCCGAATTATCCATTTTTGTTTGTTTGTTTTTTGTGCTTTTGGTGTCATATCTAAGAAACCATTGCCAAATCCAAGGCTGGCAAACTTTTCTCTAGTTTTCTGCTAAGAGTTTTATAGTTTTAGTTCTCACTTTAGGTCTTTGATCCATTTTTGAGTTAATGTTTGTGTATGGTATGAGGTGGGGTTCCAATTTTGCCCTTTTCCATGTGAATATCCAGTGTCCCTGCATCATTTACTGAAAAGACTATTCTTTCCCCCACTGAATTGTCTTGGCGCCCTTGGCAAAAATCAATTGACCGGATACGTATGGATTTGTTTCTGGACTTTCAATCCATTCAATTGATATGAACAGTTTTTCAAAATTAATAAATTATTTTCCCTGAGGCCTAATCTGGGACCACTCTGAGTAGAATCCAAGTCATTTTTGTCCACACTTAGGAACTAATTTAAGTGGGGGGCCATGGGACCACATTTAGGAAAATGAAGCTGGTTAATAGGTCTCTGGGAAATGAGGAATGGGAAGCGTGGTGGTTGGTGTGTTAGAAAGAGCTCTGGATTGGAATTAGTAAGACCTGGGTTTGAATGCTAGTTCTATCCAAAGCCATGTGGCTTCGGACAAGTCATTTAACCTCTATGAGTTTTAGCTACTGTAAAATGGAAATGATGACAATCTCACCCAGCTGGTATTAGCATTAAGAGACAGACGTTGTGAAAACGATGGCATAGTCCCTGGTACGTGGTAGGTGTAGACTCACAGCTGGTGCACAGTCTCATGGCTCTCTTCCTTCTGACCCATAGTGGTGACGTGAGATCAGGAGAGATGGGCTGCTCAGTGGGTACCTGTGCCACTTCCCATGGTACTGCTCCTGTCTCCTGCTCTGTATGGCAGTTCTGGTTCCACTCCTCCACCTTTTCTGTCAGGGGCAGTATAAAGGGTGGATGAAGAAGAGGAAAATGGCTCTCCACAGACCAGCTTTCTGGCCAGTTTGAGGGAAGCCCAGTAGGGAACCACAGAGTAGTTAGGAAATAGTCATATTTTGTTTTATACATCTGGAGCTTTATTTTTACATAAGAAACAGCATGACTGTGTGCAAAAGTTTTTGCCAGTGTACAGCTGTGTTACAACTGAGGGAATCCTGTCTGCTTGGATCAGAAAACCACAGTTCGGGTGCCTGCTTTATCGTGTGGTGGTGCCCAAATTGTAAGGAAAGGGCCCAGAAGGAAATAAACCATCCCTGTTCGCAAGAAGTCTTGCAAGCCTAAACCTAAATAGTGAGAGTGTCACTAAGGCTTGGGAGGATGGGGCACGGTGTTCTTTGGCTTCTCATTCCTCTGATCAGAGAGTTGACTGGGATCAGGAGGCAAAAAATATCTGTGGACTCACAAGATTCTGCTTGCCGAACTGAGTTGTTGCCCAATCTTCTCGTCCCTCTGGTTCCTTCCCCTAAACCTGATTTGTTAAGTACTTTTTGGCTTGGTTGGCCTTCTCTCTCATCCCTGAGATCTTCTCCTCTCCCCAAATTCTTCCACCCATGTGGCCCTATTTGGATCCCTCAGTGCTTTGGGGGTTTAGTAATGGGGGAATCTAGCTCATGTTATATGATTGTCAGTTCCTGGGTCTCAGGGAGGCCATAGTGAACTTTGTGCTGCTCAAACAGCTTGCGCAGGGCACTGATGTAGAGTGCGTGGTACTTGTCCACTGTCTTCTTGTTTGGCTTCTTAATCCTGGGGATTGGCAGGGGCTCCCCAACTATGGGGAAGGAGAAGAGACAAGCATTAGAGCTACCCAACTCAAATGAACCATTCCTCAGAGGGAGCCATGTACTGAAACTTAGTATCTGGGTCCCCTCCCCTTCCTTTGTTCTTTCCCTCTGCTCCAGCCCCATCCAGTCTCGTATTCTCCAAATACCTAATCTCATGCACGCTCAAGAGAATGAAAGCAAGCTCAGGAGAGTGTTGAAGGAATGTATGTGAATAATGATGCTCTCATGGCAGCTGCTGAACTCTGTCCCACCTGTGAATGGCCACAGCTCTTATCTGTTTAGCTGTCCTCCACACCCTGCCCTCAATCACACCCACTGGAATTCCTATCGCCCATCCCAGCTGTGTGTCAGGTCCCCTGGGACTTGATGGATGACCTGGGTATGGGGAATCAAGGACCAGGGTGGTCCAGAGATACTGGAAATCTCACCAACAGTGGTAATGGGCCGATTGAAAGGCAGGAAACCCCAGGATCCTCGAGTGAGGCCCCGGCCATGGAAAGTACAGAAATTTAGTCCCAGGATTTTTTTACACGTGTCCTGGAAGGTTTTTTGGAAGAACCTTATCCACGTGCCCTCAGGGAAGGTCTCTTGATTGTAAACCTCATTCTCTCCAAAGGAATAGGAAGGGACAAGGTATGCTCTGCAAAGAGAGAAGGGGAAGTGTGAGTTCTCCCAGGCAGCTCCACCCAGCGAAACCCTCTCTAAGGTGGGAAACCTCTACAATCTCTCCATTATAGGACAAGAACCCAAGCACCCAAACGTCTCCAGCCTTGGGTTTCATTTTTGCTATGCCCCACCCTCCCAAGTGAACCCTTTGCAGGGAAGCTGCTGCACCTTGTCCTGTGACCTGAAGAAGCTAATCTTAGGCAATCTAACTGCCTTCATTGCACCCAACATCAAGAGTGATCTTCCTAAACTGCATACCTGGGCACATCACTCCTCTCTTTAAAATCCTTCCAGAGTTCCTCACTTTGTGCCACACTGCTTAGGATGGCCTTTGAGCTCTAGCCCTGGCTACCTGGCTAGTTTCCCCTCTCCCCACCCCTTCCTTGCGATCTGCTTAGCCATACTAAGTGTGCCAACTTCTCTCTTGTCTATAGGTCTTTGTACACTCTGCTCCCTCTCCTGAAAATGCCTTCCCTCTGTCTTCACGTGGCTAATTCTATTTTGCCCTTCAATACTCAACTCCAATTTCATCCTCTTGAAGAAACTTTCTTTGATCACCTCCAACTCCCTCCCCTACAATGTGGATTAGGCACCCTTCATCTAGTGCTTATCTTTTTCCTACACTAACACTATCCTAACTCTGTATTACTGTCATCTCCTTATCTGATTGACTCCCTAGTTGTCTGTCAAGCTGATCAAAGGTGGGAACTGTGTCATTCATCTTTGAATCTCTAAGACCTGGCATAGTGCCTGATACGTTGTAGGTCCCCTGAGTTCTTTCTCCCTTTTGGTCTGACTGGCAACTCCTACTAATATTTCAATTTGCAAGTCAGATGTCACCCACCTATGAAACCTCTACTTTAGGTGAAAGTCTTTCTGTCAATTGGTGCTCTCATAGCATTTTGTACATATCTCTATTATAGCATGTCATTCATTCAACAAATATTTATTGAGTTCTTTCTATGTGCCAGTACTGTTTTAAGCCCTGGGAATATATCAATGAACAAATGGATTAAAAAAAATCTCTGTCCTCATGGAGCTTACCTTTTATTGAAGGAAGACAGACAATAAACAATAATAACAAACAAAAAGCCAGATACACAAACAAATAAAATTGATGATATGTAAGAAGGTGATAAATGCAATGGGAAAAAATAGAGCAGGATGATCTGGACAGACTTTGTTGAGAAGAGACATCTGAGCAAAGACCTGGAGGAGGTGGAGGAATGAGCCAAGCAGTTATTTGGAGGAATAGTGTTTCAGGCAGAGGGGACAGGTAGAGCAAAGGCCCTAGGGCAGGAGTGTGTGGCATGTTTGAAGGACAGCAAGCGGGCCAGTGTAGCTCTAATGGGGTGAGCAAGGGGGAGAGCAGTGGGTGATGAGGTCCGAGAGGTGGCGAAGGACCAGATTATTAAGGGTCTTGCAGGCTCTTGTACAGACTTTGGCTTTCGCTTGGAGTGAAATGGGAGCCATTAGAGCATTTGGAGTAGTGACAAGACCTGACTCACGTTTAACAGGATCATCCTGGCTACAGTTGAGAATAGACTCATGTCTGTCTTCCTCATTGAACTATGAGTTCTTTTTTTTTTAAAGATTGGCACTTGAGCTAACATCTGTTGCCAGTCCTCTTTTTCTTTTTTTTCTTCTTCTCCCCAAAGCCCCCCAGTACATAGCTGTATATTGTAATTGTAGGTCCTTCTGGTTCTGCTATGTGGGATGCCGCCTCAGCATGGCCTGATGAGCAGTGCTGGGTCTGCGTCCAGGATCTGAACTTGTGAAGCCCCGGGCCGCCGAAGAGGAGCGCACGAACTTCACCACTCGGCCGTGGGGCGGGCCCCTGAACTATGAGTTCTTTAAAGGCAAGGACCTGGTCTTATTTATTTTTGTATCCTCAATGCCTAGTACTATGCCTGATACACAGTAGGTGTTCAGTAACTGCTGAATGAATGCATTCTATTTCTCAAACCAGATTGTATGCTCTTTGGGGGCAGTAACCGTGTCTTATTCATTTTTACAATCCTCACAGCATCAAGCCCAGTGCCTTCCTTGCCCTGGGTAGGTTCTCTGGGCATCTCAGTTAATGGGTTGATATAAAGTGAAGTCCCCTACTTCCCCAGACTCCCAGCCTACTAGGTAATGTGTAGAACGTAAAGGTCTTCTTCTACTGTTCTTTCTTCAATTTCAAGTAAGAAAAAGTGCACATCGAAATGTGTCTGGAGGGGCCAGCCCCATGGCTGAGTGGTGAAGCTCACATGCTCCACTTTGGTGGCCCAGGGTTCACCGGTTCGGATCCTGAGCACGGACCTAGCACTGCTCATCAAGCCATGCTGAGGTGGTGTCCCACATAGAGCAGCTAGAAGAACCTACAACTAGGATATACAACTGTGTACTAGGGGGCTTTCGTGAGAAAAAAAGAGGAAGATTCGCAACAGACGTTGGCTCAGGGCCAATTTTCCAAAAAAAAAAGAAAGAAATGTGTCTGGAGGTCTAAACACCCTTAAGGCACAGTGTGAGGGAGTAGAGAGAAGCAGTCAGAATGAAGAGGGAGCCCCCCTAACAGGTTTCCAAGGGAGGGCACCATTCTGGAGAGGTGCTACATAGGACCTATGGCACCCTGACAATAGGGCACCAGGAACTAGGAACCCACCCTGTCGTCAGCGCCAACTTCACAAAACCTTTACGCTGTTTAAGGACAAGGGTGGAGACTCCTGGCTGGCACAAGAGGGCTTCAGCAGCTCCACCCACCACAACAACCACGGCGTTGCCTGAGCCTTTCTGGGTCAGCAAATACTTCAAGGCTGACTCACTCACTGGGCACACACCTGTGAAACAAGAGAGTCAAGTGGCATAACAAACTTAGTACCTGAGGATGGAGTAAGGGGTTCTTTCGGGCTCGTCCTTTCTGGACACAGTTCTTCTGTTTCCTGACTATTTTTGTTTCCACCGTTCTGTCTTTGACCTCCACATCCTGGGTTAGCCTCAGCCTGAGGTTGATCCTTAGGGTCAGCTGCTTGCCTTGGGGTCTGTGCTGCTACAGTTGGGGCTACATTGAGTTTCTCTGCCTACTTCTTAGCTCGATAGTATTTAAGCCCATCCCTTCCCTCTCTACCCATGAACCACAGCTGTCTTCCACTCTTCCCAGGCTGACAGCACGGGAGACTCTCCAGAGTTCTCTCCCCCAGGGGTGACCAGGACTAGCCACCACCAACCTGCTTCCTCCCTAGAGCAACCTGCCAAAGGGGAGCCGTTGGCCGGGGTTTCTGGAGAGCAGGCAGGCCCAGGAACATACCCGAGCCAAACTGAAATGGGGATGAACCATGGATTGAGGATGACACCCTGTCGCTCAACAACAGGCACAGTCTTTCCTCAATTCTGCTTCCCATCTTTGCCCTGTGCTTACCTTCTGTTCTCTCCTGGGATGGCAGAAATTGCTTCTAGGCCTCGGTCATTGAGGGAGACTGCTGCTCCAGGTTCATGCCAACCTCAGAGGGGAGCAGAACTGTCCTCTGGGACTCTAGTGGTCCCACCTGGCCCCTCCAGATGAATGTATCTTACCTTTTAATGTTTGGCTTCAGTTGTTTTCTGGTGTCCGGAAGGATGGATATTTATCCAGAGAGAAGGACACTTGTCACAGTACCCTGCCTTGAAGCCTGGCGTGGGGAAGTTGTCCTGGATTCTGATGGATGCTTATCCTTTATCCCTTGATCTCTTATGCAAGTTTGAAGGGGCTCCCAGGAGATAAAGGTCATGGGCCAGGAGGGTACCAACTAGTATGAGAGACTTTAAAATGTCTTTAAGATGCCCCAGGATGAGAACTGCTATATAAATGGCCCAAAGAAGCCAACTGACATCCCAGAAAGAGTGGCAAAGTTCGCCTGAGCTGTTCCATTCATGCCTGATTTTCTGCACATTTGGGTTTGCTATTTGGCTTTTGCCTTCTGCTTTCCACTTTGGCTTTGATTCTGAACTGCAACCTTCTGCTTCCTCCTCTGAAAGGATTCCTGGCAACGCTTATGAATGCACATAACTTATCCTGCTGCCTAACCAAACAAACCCTGCCTTCCAGATCTTGGATGGAACCTGACAGTTGGCCACATACTCCTGTTACTGGACCAATGTGCTCTGGACTCATTTTCTACTAAGTCCTCTTCGAGCAGATAGTGAGAATTGGACCGACTGTCAGGGCTTATTGCGGTTGGAGCCCTGAGGTAAGTCAGAGAATGGAATGATTTCTTATACTCACCCATTGACATCACATATTCTCGCACAATTGGGATCCAGAAGATCCCTTCCAAGGTCCCTACAGAAGGAGTGATGCCTGGGAAAATCCGAGCAAAGCCAGTGGCCTCAGTAGCAAAGTTGATGAAGACACCATAAGAAACAATGCCATGGGGGTGGCTGGCAATGATATAGTTGTGTTTGGGAGAGAGGTCCTGAGTCTTCACCAGCTGTTAGAGGGAGACTGAGTCAGAGCAGTGGATAGGAAGAAGGAAGGAGATGACATGTGGACTAAGATCCCAGCAAGTAGACTGTGTTTCCCATGGGGAGCCTAAATCCCTGTTCATTGGGATGTCATCATTGTCATAGGATTGCCAGGGGTTATGATGCTCAGACCTGGATGTGCCACCATGAGGAAAGGCTGCTATCTATCCATCTTCCCACATGCTCATCCATCTTGGGCCCCTACTCTGCATTATGCCTCTGGGCCTTTACCTTCACTGCTGGCCACCAAAGCCTTTGAAAACATGGAGCTGAGTGGAGAGGGAGAGTCTGAATAACAGGGACCAAGGGTACCCAGAGGAAGAGTAGTCACCTTTATTGGGAAATAATTTCCGAAATACTTCCAGAGGGTCCAGTTTCGTACCCAAGCTGAACGCCTACCACCTGTGGGTACAGAAGGGAAGAGAAGAGCAGGCAAGCTATTGCCAATCCCTCTACCTCTCCCAGACGTAGAGGGTTCTTCCTACAGTCCTCAGGTCGCAGGAGGAGCCTCCTTCTCACACTTCTATATTTTGGGGGCACAGAGCTGTAGACACTGTCCCTGAATCCAACTCCCAAGAAGACATAGGAAGCCCCTGCTCCTCTGGAGCCAGCCAGAAAGGTGAAAGAGAAACAGTGTGAAGCTGGAGGCACCTGCCGAGAAATCTCAACCTCTTCATTCTTCCTGGGCAGCCTGGCAGAGACCTCTGTTCCCTATTGAGCTTTGCTCTCCTCTCTCCTTCCCCTTCCCTCTACCCCCCTTTACTATTCTCCCTCTCTCCACCTCCCCCCTTTCCTTTCTCTTTCCCCTTCTTTCCTCTCCCCACCCCTTCTTCCTCTGTCTCTCCCACTCTTTCCCTCCACCTCCCTCTCCCTGTGGTTCCATCCTTGGCACAGACATGGACCACCACTCTCCCCCTGTCTCTTACCTTGACTGTGGGTGTTCCAATCATAGGCAAGCCAGGCTAAGGCGAGCACAGACAAGGTCCAGAACTTAGTGAACACCAGAAAGTAGGGTATAAGGAGAATAGGAATAGCTCCTGAGGGGACACAAAGGGTTCATGCCCTTCAGTTCCCTTCAAGTTTAATAGACCTCTCGTAACCCCCATCTCTGCTCTATACTAAAGGAAGAGTCAATGCTGGTGAGAGACCCTTCTCTCTCTCTCCCCCAACCCCTCACTTAGTAGCTCTGCTGTGGTCCAGGCTGATCTCTGAGTCCCTGGATCTGGGTCCCTTTGATGGCTGAGATCTTAACTGAGGAAACAGCAGAACCATAACGTTCTCAGAGCAGGCCCCCAGCCAGGGTCAAAGGACGGCACTGCTTGGCAAGTGGAAAAGAACAGCTCCTTGGGCCAGTGGCTGACATCCCCATTCTGGGACCTCAGGAGGTCCTTTGTAAAAGCTTGACCCTCCTTCCTTTGTGGAACTGCTAAGTCAGCACATTCCAGCAGAGAGGGGCTGCCTGCAGTGTGCAGGATGTTTGATGCTGAGAGGAAAGCACATATTAGAAACTGCTTTACTATGTTGGATTTTGTCCCAATCAAAATGTCTCAAAAGTTCAGAAGGGAAAAAAATGATCTCTGTTAGCAAAGGGCCACAGCAAGCGGTGAAATGCAAACATGATACATCTTAGAGCTGTGGGAATCGAATTCCATTTTTAAATCTGCATTCATGAGAAAGAAGGGCTAAGTACACATATTGTCAATAAAAAAAGACCCAGCTAAGGGGATGACTTCTTTGACCAGGTAACCACATCATGGTAGACAAAAGTTTCAGAGGAGGGGAAGAAACTCAAGAGTTACCTACCAACAAGTTTGTCTCTCGCATTTTGGACACAAATGAAAATAACAGGAAGAAGACGGAATGTGCATTTCTTTAAAAAGTCACGCTATGGAGTAGAAGAAACCTTAGCGATAGGCTGAATAAGCATGTTGTAAGCATGCTAATTAAATAAGAAGTAGTGGTGGGAGGAATGCTATGGGAAGCCTGCCATGGATAAAAGTCCTGCTACTTCTGACCCTCATAAAAGATTAAATTTGCTGAGTAAGCTTCAGAAGAAAACTCAGGTAAAGTTAAATAAAAGTCATTATTAATTAAAAATAGTCTGTGTATCATTTCTTTTATATCTTGCTTCAAATACATTTCATTTGTATCCCCAGTATTTAGAATAGTGCTGTGCACAAAGTAGGTGTTTAACAAATATCTGTAGATTGATTGAAAGATACATAAATGTTTTCTCTTTTTAATAATAGTAAACTTAGATGATTAGTGCTTAGTCAGCATTTATGTTATTTCAACGTGACGTTATTTTAAGAGCATGGATGGATTGATTGTGTGCCTCACGTCTGATCTCTTTCAGTTATCCACCTGTCCTAGGGGTACTCTAACCAAGAACCATACCTCCATAAACACCACCTCTCTGGTGGAATCTATTTGAATTGCAGGTGTGGCACCTCAGGAGACCCTAAGTGTCCTTTAAAGGCAAGCCTGCCAGACCCAGCCTGTTTGAATGTCATCAGTGTCACTCACGGTGACAGAAATGGGATTTAAAGAGAGGAGAAACAGATGCCAAACATGGAAGAGCTAAAGATCATGTAATGAGGAATTCTGTGACAGAAAGCAAGGGTATCTGAGGTAAGAATGAAGAACAACCATTTGTGTGGATGCATATATGACGCTCGCATAGATATTATAGGCTTGACACCAGGAGGTGCTCCCAACATCTTGTGAGGAGTCTTGGAGTGGATTATCAAGGAGGAAATTCATGTAAGGTAGCTCCTATTTGTACTGAAGATGGCCAAGCCATTCTCATACATGTGTAGTATGGTACCTCATCATGACTTTAATTTGCATTTCCCTAATACCTAGTGATGCTTAATGGCTTTTCATGAACTTATCTGCCTTCTGTATATCCTCTTTGGTAAAGTGTCTGTTCAAATCTTTGGTCCATTTTTCAATTGGGTTGTTTGTTTTCTTACCGCTGAGTTTTAAGAGTTCTTTATACATTCTGGATACTAGTTCTTGGTCAGACATGTGATTTGCAAACATTTTCTCCCAGTCTCTGTTTATCTTTTCATCCTCCTAACAGGGTCTTTCTCAGAACAAAAGCTTTTAATTTTGATGAAGTCCAACTTGTCAATTTTTTTTCTTTTACAGATTGTGCTTTTGATGTCAAATCAAAGAGATCTTTATTTAACCTCAGGCCATGAAGGTTTTCTTCTAAAATTTTACAGTTTTGTGTTTTACATTTAGATGTGTGATCCATTTTGAGTTATTTTTTAATAAGATGTGAGGTTTTGGTTAAGGTTCATTTACTACGTGTGGATATCCAATTGTTCCAACATGATTTGTTGAAAAGACTATCCTTCCTCCACTGAATTGCTTTTGCATCTTTGTCAAAAATCAATTGGCCATTTTTATGTGGGTCTATTTCTAACTCTCTATTCTGTTCTATTGATCGATGTGTCTGTCCCTTCACCAATGCATCGCTGTCTTGATTACTGTAGATTTATACTGTCTTAAAATTAGATAGTGTATTCCTTCTTTATTCTTTTTCTAAGTTGTTTTAGCTATTATAGTTCCTTTGTTTTTCTATATAAATTTTAGAATCAGCTTGTCTATGCCTATGTCTACAAAGGTTAATAAATTAACCTTTTTATTTTGAAAAAACTTTAGATCAACAGAAAATTTGCAAGAATATTTTAATAAAAACTCATATAACCTTCACCTAGATCTACCCATTGTTAACATTTTACATTTGATTTACCTCTAATTATAAGTATATACCTGTATGTTTGTATCTGAGCCTACTACATTACAGAGATCACAACCCTTTGCCCCTAAATATCTGTGTGTACTTTCTTTATAATATCCACAATGCTATTATCGAATTTGGGAAATTTAATATTTATGCAAAACTATTATCTGATATACCCTGCTGGAATTTTTATTTGAATTGCATTATGTTTATAGATCAATTTGGGGAGAACTGACATATTTACTATTTTGGGTCTTTCAATCCATGAACATAGTATATCTCTGACTATTTAGGTATTTGATTTTATTCATTAGCATTTTATGGTTTTCAGCCTTCAGATGCGGTATAGGTTTAAATCTATTCATAAATATTTCACTTTTTGGAGGTATTTAAATGGTATTGTTTTTTAAATTTTTGTTTTCAATTGTTCTCTGCTAGTATAGAGAAATGTGGTTGATATTTATGTGTAATCTTGTATCATGTGACTTTGCTAACCTCATTTGTTAGTTCTTGGAGGGTTTTTTTAAAAAAAATTCCTTGGGATTTTCTATACAATCATGTCAGCTGTGAATTAGGACAGTTTTATTTCTTATTTTTCAATCTGTATGCATTTCTTTCTTTTTTTCTTCTTGCCTTATTGCACTTGCTAGGGCTTTTAGTATGATGTTGAATACAAATGGTGAGAGTACAATCTTTGTGCTTTGCTTTGCTCCCAATCTTAGGGAGAAAGCTTTCAGTCTTCGCCACAAAGTGTGATGTTAGCTGCAGATTTCTTGCAAATGCTCTTTATCAAGTTGAGCAAGTTTCCTTCTAGCCCTAGTTTTGAGAGGTTTTATCATGACTGAAAATGAAGTTTGCAAATGCTTTTCCTACGTTAATTGATATGATTATGTGTTTTTTCTTCCTTAGTTTACATTGATTGATTTTTCAAATATTTATACTTGCGTTCCTGGGATAAAGCCCACTTGGCAGTGGCATTATTCTTTGTAATATATTGCTGGATTTGGATTTTGCTTACTAGTATTTTGTTGAGGATTTTTGCATTTATATTCATGAAGGATATTTACTGGCCTATAGTTTTATTTTTTGTACTGTCTTTGGTTTTGGTATCAGGGTCTGGCCTCATAAATGAGTTGGCAAGTGTTCTTTCCTCTTCTATTTTCCTGAAAAGATTGTGTAGAATCTGTTATATATCTTCTTTAAAATGTTCGGTAGAATTTGCTGTGGAAACCATCTGGGCCTGCAGATTTTTGTTTTGGAAGGTTTTTTAATATTTTCAATATTTTGGAGCTATCTTTGACTTCTCACCCTTTCCAAAAAAATCTCTCCCATTCATCCTCCTGCCTCTGTCCCCATTGCTACTTCAATGGTTCGGGACTTGATCTCCTCTGGTCAGGACTGCAGTCTTTTGTCACTCTTTGCCTACTGGTCTCTTCCCCTCCAGTCCATTTCCCATGCTACTGCTAGATATTTCTCTTTTTTTGAGGAATATTAGCCCTGAGCTAACATCCTCCACCAATCCTCCTCTTTTTGCTGAGGAAGACTAGCCCTGAGCTAACATCCGTGCCCATCTTCCTCTACTTTATATGTGGGATGCCTGCCACAGCATGGCTTGACAAGTGGTATGTAGGTCTGCACCCAGGATCCGAACTGGCAAACCCTGGGCCGCCAAACCAGGGCGCACAAACTCAACCGCTGCACCACCAGGCCGGCCCCTTGCTAGATATTTTTTTTAAAGTACAATCATAACATTGTTTGCCTCCTCAATATTGCCTCAATATTTTCCCACTGCTTACAGAATAAAGTCTGAACTTGTTAGCCTGGCATTTAAGACCCTCCATGGACTAGCCCCACACATCTTCCCAGCCTCAGCTCTCAGTACCTGCACTCATGCCCCTTATGCTCTAGCCTAGTATTTCTCAGATTGTGGCCTCTATACCACCGTAGGGACACTAGATGATCTGAGGTGGTGTATGTATGGAAAGTTATTTTAATGTGTAGTGAATAAAAGTGAATTCACGGTAGTGATATAAAGCTTCCTGTTAAAATACATTAATTTAGATTATAGAAATGAGTCAATTTGGACAAAATGTTAAGTAATAATAACATAGGTGGTTCTCAGATGTGGAAAGAACCAGAAAGTGGGATGCAAATGGCTGAAGTATGGGTAACAGTGGCCCAACCACCTTAGTCTATTCCCCATTCCCTCAATCCACCAAGAAATTTCACATGTCTATGCCTTTGGTGATGCTGTTGGCTCATTCTGACTACCCTCTCCCCAACTTTCTGCCTATCAAAATTTTCTTAGCCTTCGAGGCTTAGCTCAAATAATACCTCCTTGATGATATCTTTGCTGATTCTCTGGTCAGAATTAAGCTTCCTTCTTCCAGACACCCACAGCGCATTACTTATGCTTCTATTTGGCCCTGTTTCATTCTGCTGCTTGTGTAGTTAATATGTCACATATCTGGCCCTGTCCCTATTAGGCAGTAAGCTTTTTGAAAACAGCCTTTAGCACAGTGCCAAGCAGAGGGAAATGATTCATGATAAATATTTGTTACCTTAAATTGTAGCACAGGCAGAAGTTCGATTTCAAAATTCTCCAAATGGCAGGTAAAAGCTGATAGGAAGAGCAGCCATCAATGCTCTTATTTCAAAAAAGGAAAAACCTTCTGAGGTTCCAGGGTATGCATGTGCATGTAAGGCTATAGGCAACCAGTTATTTTCAGTGTAAAGCAAAAACCCAGCATCCTAATGAGTTGGCTCAAAGCCTTCAGAAATCCAAGAACATGGCTGGTTTGTCAAAGATGAGTTTCTGTGGCTTTGTGACTGGATCTAAATAAACTATAAATACAAGAGCCTGTGAGAGTAAAAGGTAATTTAATAATTCAACAAACATTGTGCACACTTCATGTGAAGTCTCTGTGCTAGAAGCCATGGGGATAGGATTGAGGACTGAAAGGAGAAGGGTGAAGAGAGTGAATATGGGAATGATGAAAATAATGTAAGTCTGGTCATGGATACCATGTTTCAAGTATTTATTATTAACACTCTGTTCAGCACTCAATGTGCGTTATCTCATTTAATCCTCTCACAAGCCTAAGAAATAACCCCACCATCCCCATTTTACACGTGAAGAAACTGAGGCTCAGAGAGGTCATGTACCTTCACTCCAAACTTTGGGAAAAAAAGTAGTGGCATTTGTTGAAACTTTACTATGTGCCAAGAGCTATTTTAAGCACTTTCCGTGTGTTAAGTCATATTAATACACGTAAAAAATAAAGTTCTTGCTCTCCAGAAACTCATAGTTTAGTGGGGAAGACTGATACCATAAATAATGGAGACATCCCAGAGGGTGAAAACTATATAGTCAGAGTTCAAATGTCATTTTATGGGAACCCAAGAGAAGACCATCCTTACTACTGGGAAAGCTAGAAAAGCTTCTTTCAGAAGGTAAGATTTAAGCTGCATTTTGGAGGAAGAGTAGGATTTCGACAGATGGATAGTGGAGGAAGGGCCTTCCATGCACAAGGAAGAGCTTGAAAAAGGCCTCAAGATGGAAGAGTCCAAGGCCCATGAGTAACATCATAACCTGAAAAAGTACAGGGAGCATGGGGGCCGCAGAAAAGGAGAGGAAGCTGGGAAGGAAGCTGGGGAGATTAGGCCTGACCGTGAATGGAATGGGAAGCCAGTGAAGGTTATTAAGCAGAGGAGTAGCATGATCATATCTGCGTATCAGTAAGCTAACTTGGAATAACTGTGGGAACAGGAGAAACTGTCGGAAAGGAGATCAGCTAAGAGCTGCAGTGATTTAGATGAGAGGCAATGGGAACCTGAAATAGGCTACTATTTCTCAAACCAATTTGCAAGATACTATGGAGGCAGAATTTTCAGGGTTTGGCAGTTGATTGGATATAGGGGCTGAAGGAAAGGAAGTAGTGAATGATGCCTTAAAGCAGCCTATGAGAATGCTGAGACTATGTCAAAGTCTCTATTTGCCTAATTTTCTAGGACCTTGTTGCTCATTATTCTTCCTGAGGGTGCAATGAAATCAGCGTGTAGAGTGCCTGTCTCAGAAGTGGTTGTCAATCCTCTGTTGATCAAATGGCAAGGTTGGCAGTGTCTTATGAGGTGGGGTGGTTGGGCTCCAAGTAATGTCAATTTCTATAAGAGAAAGAAAGAAAAGGAACATCTATTGAAGACTGTTTCATCTCTTTGATCTTTGGAATGGTCTTGAGAAGCAGGTACTATGCTTTATTTCTACAATGAAGGAAGGTGAATGTCTTACTTGCTCAAGATCACATAGAAAATAATAGTGACTTACTTGCACAAAGTCATGTAGCAAGTAAGTGGTGAACCTGGTCTGTCTGACCCCCAAGATTATGTTCTATTTTTTGTAGTATCAGAAACCAGAGAGAGAAGGCAGGCCCACAAGAAAACGATGCCCAGGAGAGAGAGAAAAAGAACAAGAGGTGGACTTAAAGGTCTCTAGTGAGGAAGAAGAAATCTGGAAGAATTTTCAATTAAGTGTCAAGCCTGGTCTTGTGAGAAATATAATAATGACAAGACATGGCTCCTGTTTCTCATGGAGCTTAGTGAGTAGAAGTGACAAAGGATATAAGGACTGCTACCCAACAATTTTTTTTTAAATATTTTTATTTTTTCCTTTTTCTCCCCAAAGCCCCCCGGTACATAGTTGTATATTCTTCGTTGTGGGTCCTTCTAGTTGTGGCATGTGGGACACTGCCCCAGCATGGTTTGATGAGCAGTGCCACGTTCGTGCCCAGGATTCGAACCAATGAAACACTGGGCTGCCTACAGCAGAGCGCACGAGCTTAACCACTCGGCCACGGGGCCAGCCCCTACCCAACTATTTTTACAAAGTGCTTTGGACTTTCGGAGGTGATGTAGTCTTGAGTTGTCTGGAAAATGTTGCAGAGAAAGTATAACTTGAGCAATATCTCAATGGAGGGGTTGTCTGTGGATAGCCCAGGAAGAGTGATCAGGGCAACTTTCCAGTGGAGGGAATAGTCAGAGCAGAGGTGAAGGAGTGGGAGAGTACCCTTCGTGTTTGTTCTGTGAATAGATTGCCTGGAATACAAGCTTCATATAGGGGAAGAGTAGGAGGATGAGTTGGTAAAGGGTTAGAGCCAGAGAGTGGAGGAGGGCCTTGAATGCCCAGGCTAACATATTTGTACTTCATCGAGTAGGCCATGGGAAACCACCAACTATTTTTGAGCAGAAGGCTGTAATCAAAGGTGCTTTTGAAAGACTCTTCTTGGAGTAGGCAGTGGAACAGATTGGAGAGAGTGGAGAGTAGAAGGCAGAGGGCCAGGAAAGAGGATATTGCAACAGTTTAGGTAGATGGTGATACAAGCCCAGGAAAGAAGAGACAGATGGAGTGCCAGCCTTTAAATGGGAGCTAGCCCTCAGAGAGGCTGTCAAGGCCTTTGCCTAATTCTCAGGGTCATGAATATTTGTATTCCATATCTCCCCCAAACTGTCTTTTCATTCCTCTCTTCTCACTTCTTCCCTCCTTGTCCCTCTGCCTTTTTTCTCCTCCCTTTCCATGTTTCTTCCCCCATCACTTCCAGTAATGCTCAGTAATCAGCCATGATTCTGAACATCATTTGGGAAGGAGGAGAAGCACTGAGGGAGGCTCTGAGCAGGACAGAAGGGATGAAGGAAAAAGGGTGAGAAAGAGAAGAAAGAAGGGAATTAGGAAGGAAGGGAGGGAGGAAGGGAAGGAAAAAAGGAGGAAGGAAGGAAAGACAGTTTTTTGGAGGGAGCATTTACTGTGGACTAGGCTGAGAGGATGAGGATACTGAGGCTTAGAGGGGTTACAGTACTTGTCCAAAGTCACATAGCTTATTGTTAACCAAGTTTGATGAACTCCAGAACCCATGCCCTCTTCACTGACACACTGCTTCCCTTTTCTGCCTTCCCTGATGTCCTCAACTTGATGTAATATTTTCTTTCTCTGAAACCCTAATATCACTTCCTTGTGGCTCTTTCTTCCACTTACCACAGTCTTCCTTACATTGTGGTGACTTGTGTGCATGTCCAGGAGTGACACATGAAATGTGTACAATGGTGGAACAAATGATTGGTTTATCTTTGTTACTAGATAGCAAGGAGCCCATACTTGACACATTGTTGCAGTCTCAGCAGGGACAGCCAAGCTCTTATCATTAGTATTTGCTCTATAACTGTTGAACAGATTTGAATGTCTTACACCTCTGTGGGCATCACACACTGTTAGATGCTATTGCTACCTTGGTAATTCCAAAGACCCAGGATTCACGTTGTAATTTCTAGCATAATCACTAAAAAAATAGAAACAGGATGTATAACACCTAAGCTAGTAGAGGAAGACAAATGGAATGATAAAGATAAGCAATCTAAAAGAAGTCAAGACAAATGGCCAGCAAGGATATGAAAAGATGCTCAATGCCACTAATCATTACGGAAATGCAAATCAAAACCAAAATGAGATATTAGGATGACTACTATAAAAAACCCCAGAAAATAAAGAAGTGTTGGTGAGGATGTGGAGAAATTGGAACTCTTGCATGCTGTTGGTGGGAATGTAAAATGGTGCAGCTGCTATGAAAAACGGTATGGCAGTTCCTCAAAACATTTTAAAATGGAATTACCGTATGATCCAGCAGTCTCACTTCTGGGTATATACCCAAAAGAGCTGAAAGCAGGCTCTCAAAGAGATAATTGAATACTCATGTTCATAGCAGCATATTCACAATAGCCAAGAGGTAGAAGCAACCCGAGTGTCCATCAATGGATGAATGGATAAACAAACTGTGATGTATACATACAGTGGAATGGTATTCAGCCTTTAAAAGGAAGGAAGTCCTGTCACGTGACACAACATGGATGAACTTTGAAGACATTATGCTATGTGAAATAAGCCAGTCACAAAAGGACAGATACTATACAATTGCACTTACATGAAGTACCCAGAGGAGTCAAATTCAGAGACAGAAAGTAGAAGGGTGGTTGCCAGGGGCTGGAGGAGGAGGAACGGGGAGTTAGTGTTTAATGGGTACAGAGTTTCAGTTTTACAAGATGAAAAGAGTTTTAGAGATGGGTGGTGGTGATGGTTGAACAACACTGTGAATGAACTTAATGCCACATAACTGTACACCTAAAAATGGTTAAAACGGTAGATTTTATGTTATGTCTATTTTACCACAATTTTTAAAAACTTTTAAAAATGCAGGTGAAGGAAAACATTGACATTTATTATTAGTGTTTTCACTTAAGATACACAGGTGCCATCGTTTGCCCATCTTCCAGCTTTTCCAGGATGACTGAAAGCTGGTGAGATTGGCAGGGCAGGTGGACGGGGGCGGGCATTACAAGGAGGCTAATGCTCTCACTCTCGGACCCTTACATATTCAGTGTTGGATACTCCCTCTGCCCTATCCCTGTGCAGAGACAGTGTCTTTTGAGAGGGGAAAAGGAAGAGAGGAAAAAATACTAAAGAAAAAATCATTTTCTGGGAGAAAAATAATAACATTTTATTGAGGAGAGCCCCCTAGAAGAGCCAGAACAACCGAGCACTTGCATTCAAATGCCATACAGAGGTTTTCTGGGCTGGGACAGACCCCATGCCTGAAAGGATCAGCTCACACCGCTTGGCCTCTCCTGCCCTCTTTTCTCTGCTCTCTCTGCCCCATCTTTGCCCACTCTTTCTGGGATCCGGACTTGAAATGGTGGCTGCCACCTCGATACCAAGTCTCTTAAGACTTTCCTGTGCCCTTCACTTGCCTAGCTAAGCGCTGGAACTTGTCAGAGGGGTCTTTTTGAGGAAATTAAGATAAATGCAAAGGAAAACAAAAAGAAAATATGAGGGACTAGAAACAAGTTTACAGAAAAATTGCTTCCTTGTGTTAACATAGCTAGAGCCAAGCCATTGATGGACTCAGAGCTTGGCATGATTTGATTTCAATAAGGCTCAATAGTCTTCATCTTTTGGGGACCATGGACCCCTTTGGAAGTCTGGTGAAGCTTATGGACCCCTTCCCTGAATAATATTTTTAAATGCACAAAATAAAATACACAGACTTACAAAGGAAACTCCTTATATTAAAAGTTATAAAAAATTACAAAAAATATGATATAGTAACATGAGCTTCTTGATGTATGCCTTAAATAACCAGACCTAACAATGGCTCCAATAACTATTGGGATTTTGAAGTACTAGTCACGTGCATACATGAAATTTCGAGATGCTTGCAACAGCTGGCATATGAAATGTAAATCTCTGTGATGTCTATTACTGACAAAGACACAGGTACTGCTAACACTTTTGTGGTTTGTTGGCACATTCATCATTTCAATTTGAGGTTAGTGAAAATAGGAGGTAACTTTTTCCATACAAATTCAAAGTTGTCTCTCCCCTCCATGTGTTCTACATCCATAGGCCCCTGGTTAAGAACCTCTGCTCTAAGGAGTCATGTAGCCTCCCAGAGACTGGAATCAGCTGCCTCCCACCTGTCCCATCCTTTAGGATGACATTTCTCCCCGTCCAGTTTGCCCCTGTAATCGCTGCCTACAAAGTCCTGGTTTCTGGCTGGGAAAAGCTTGCAGCCCTCAGCCCATTTGCTCAGCACTGATGATTGCCATGACCTGAGTCCACTGCACAACTGACCTTTTCTCAAAATTCTGTCTAGTGAGTCACTCAGGCAGCCCTCAGATTTTCCAGAATTCTCTCACCATAATCTTATATTGGAAAATCACCCTACGCTTACTTAGTAACACCATTTCTGCAAGTTACCACCACCTCTGCCCCTGAATATGACTCTTTTCGGCTAGTCCAGAGACGGCAGTCTTGAGAAGGCTGGGTGATCTTTAAACCAGAACAACCACAGCCTCACTCCTGGCCTTCAGAGCCCTCAGCTGGGAGGAGAGAGATCCAGTGCACTCAACAGTAGCCATCTCTCTGGGTGGTGAGGCACAATCCTTCCTAGAGGGAGGAGAATAACCAAAGGATCTCTTCGGAGCCCTCCTCATCTGGGGATTCCTGGCCTCTTTTTTGGCCCATTCCCATGTGCTCTTCGGTCCCTGGGTTCACTCACCTAAAAACACATAGACTGGGATCCACTGTAAAACAGAGAGGGTTCGGAGGGTCTCTTGAAGATCCAGTCGGGAGAGAAAGGCCATGGCTATGGTGCTGTTCTGTTGTGGCAAGTAGCCCAAACAGAAGGCCAACACCTCTAAAGCTGAGCTGATTGCAGGTGCTTTGTTCTAACTGCTTATCATTGAGTCAGTTTAGCTGCTGGAGGTTTTAGGCTTGACCTAACCTTTCTTCCAGTCTTCTCCATTCTCTGCCCCACCCCAACTTCCTACACACACAAGGTTTCAGATCATCTACCTAATCTCCTTAATATGTATCCCTTTTTCACATGTTCAATTGCAATGAGGCAGAAATGGCCTTGGGTTGGTTTTAGCTGTGTGTGTATGTGGAGGAGGGGGTCCCTGATAAATTAATGTAGGAAAAGAGAATGGCTTAGGCCTCAGACAGGACCTCTGAAAAGCAACCTGCTACCTTTCCTTGCTTAAGAAATGGCACCTGCCAACCACACTTGTTTCTGCCCTAGTGGCTGCTCTTTGGCTCTCCCTGTCTTCTGCTGAGAGCCACCTAGTTGACTAAGGCCTTTTTCTGCACTGATATCTAGACTTCTCAGATCCCTCCTCGTACTGCCGTTCCCAGGGGCTCTGTATCAGCAGCCAGATACCTATGGTAGGCTGGGAGAAGCATTCCTTAGACAGCAGACCTGGGTTCTAGTCCTAGCTCCACCATGTCCTTCCCGTGACAGAAATTGCTCTGTCTCTTTAGATTTCAGTCGGAGCATTCGTTGTTGGAAGGCAGTGTAGTGGTTAAGGGCGTGGACTTTAGAGCCAGATAGCCAGAGTTCAGCTCTCAGCTCTGCCACTTACAGGTTGGCGAACATCTGTGCCTCGGTTTCCCATCTGTAAAATTGGGATAATAATAGTACCTACTTCATAGGGTTGTTCTGAGGATTAAATGAGTGCGTGACTGTAAAGTGCTTAGCACAGGGCCTGGCACACAGTAGGCACTGTGTGTTTCCTATTATTATTATTCATTTAGTTCAATTAATATCTACTGAACTTCTACTATGTTTCAGGCTAAAAGGCTTGCTTCTGCACACCAGCCTTTGCAAAGTTAAAAATTGTCCCCGTTGGGGCCGGCCTGGTGGCGCAGTGGTTAAGTGCCCACGTTCTGCTTCTCGGCAGCCTGGGGTTCGCTGGTTCGGATCCTGGGTGCAGACAGGGCACCGCTTGGCAAAAGCCATGCTGTGGTGGGCATCCCACGTATAAAGTAGAGGAAGATGGGCATGGATGTTAGCTCAGGGCCAGTCTTCCTCAGCAAAAAGAGGAGGATTGGCAGTGAATGTTAGCTCAGGGCTAATCTTCCTCAAAAAATAAATAAATGAATAAATAACTTTAAAAAAATTTAAAAAAGAAAAGAAAAATTGTCCCCAGGTCCCAGACCTCTGGATTCATTTTTTCTCTATCTATTGAGTGCTGTTGAGTCAGGCACTCTTGTAGGCGCTGAGGTGGGGAAGAAAATGGACATGACTCCTGCCTTCACTGAGCTTCCAGTCTAGTGGAGGAGACAGACGTTAAACAGAAACAAATCACAAAAATGTTTACACTCTTGAATTTGTGATGTGTCCTAAAGGAAAAGACCAGTATTCTCAGCATAAGACCTTAAATATAGAAGGTGCTCAAAAAAATCTTCTGGATGTAACCAAAAGGGTTGCTTGGAAAATCAAATACAAAAATGGTATCAAGTGTCCTGCAAGTGCAAGGAAATATTGATTCCTTAGCCTGAAGCTCCAGTAAGATGTTGGTAAGTGGGGATGTTTTCCTTACAAATCTCTTTATGTCTGGAGGTCAGTGGGTCTATAATCTAGTGAAAGTAGACCCAAGAGTGGTGGTTCAAGGAGGGACCTGTGGAGGCGGAGGGTAGGGCAGAACAGGGTAGGTATTTCAAAATCCCCTGGAAGTCAGTGGATTACTTCTCAGGGCAGGCAGGCCCTGGGGAACAGTGGCATCTAGTGCCTTGGTTCAGGCTAGGGTGACCAACCAGCTCTGTTTGCCAGGGACTGAGGAGTTGCCCAGGATGCTGGGCTTTCAATGCTAAAACCAGGATGGTCTTGGGCAAACCAGGACAGTTGGTCCCCTAGTTCAGGCCCTTGTCACTGTTGCCTGGACTTCAGCAGGCTGCTTCCTGCTGGTCTCCCTTTGGTCTCCATGCTGCTGCTAGAGGATTGCTGTCAAATACAGCTCTTAGCATCTGCCCTGTTTCAAACCCTCCAAAGTCTCCCATTGCATGTGGAATCAAGTTCGAACTCCAGAGCCTGGTATCCAGAGCCATCTTTACACTTGTTTCTGCCCTCCTTGAAAGTCTCATTTCTCATCACTTTCACACCACACCCAACACAGCATCCTTCCCCAACTAGGAAGTACCCCTTCTTACTCTGGGCCTTTGCCCATGGTGGTCTTGATGCTGGCCCTGATGTCAGTTCCCCTACATTAAACCCAGCATATATGCAGTTAAAACCAAAGCACTCTTTGCCTGCTTACTCCCTGGCTCCAGAATCCACTATCTGCCATGGACACAAACAGCCAAGGTCGCCCACCTGGGTTCCATATCATCTCCTCTTCCTCCCTACAAACAGTGTCCCAAGGCCGAACACAGGCTGGTGGAAAAGCTCTGACCGGCAAGGCCACTGACTCCCCACAACGTCTCTACAAGCAGCCACATTCCTCCCAAATCTTTAAAAGTCCTCGCCTCCCCTCTTTCCGGGAGACAAGATGAGACAAGACAAATTTGAGGGCTCACTCTCATCTCCCAGCTGATATCACCTGAAATAAAAACCTTTCTATGCCATAAGGCTGGCGTTCCAGTTTTTATTTGGCCCCTCTTGTGTGGTGGGTAAAGAACCTATGTTTGCAGGCGCTAACAATCTGGTAAGCCAGGCAGGAGGCTCTTGCCCATGGCTCCATGGCCCCGGGCCGACTGGGATTTCCTGGGAAGCAGCCCAGCAGCTGTCTAGGTGATTTGCCCTAGGAACCGGCCCTAGTACCTTCTGTCTGGCCTGGCACCACTGACCCTAGGCATGTTTTCTTATGTCAAGGAAACAGGTTCTAGGTTTATTTGTTTGTTCTTCGTTCTGGTGAGTCGACGGACTCTGTCTGAAAGGGTAAGTCACCTCGGGACACCTGTGTACTTCCTTTCCCTCCTCTTGGGTTCCTTCCATTCTTGGAGGGGCCATCTGGGGCCCTTTCTGTTCGCAGAGGGGCCATCTAGGCATGCATTTAGAGTGGGAACAGTTGTAGGACTTTCTACCCTCAATCTGGGAAGCAGTTCACTCGTGTCTGGTTTTTCTTTGTCTGGGTCTGTGTGTCTGTCTGTCTCTGTGTATTGGAATGGGAAACATGCTGTCTGTCCCCAAGCAGAGCCCACTGGGGTTAATTCTGAGTAGATGGTCTAATTATAGTTATAAGCCAACATCTAAAAGGGATGATTTTCTTTTGTAACACTGCATGGCCACAATATTCTTTAAACTCCGGAGAGAAAATGGCCAAACAATGGATCCTTAAGTTGAAAAAACTATTAGAGAGCTCTCATCATAAACAGCTGTTTTATCGGTACCTATGAAAAGACCAAATTAAAAGGAAAATACAATGATTAGTCTTAAAAACTTAATCAAACTTGGGGCCTCAGCTTCTTCTTGTGGTTTTACAGATTCTAATGAAAACATTAACAAAGAAAAATCAAAAAAGAAAGAGTCACAGAACTCATCCCAACAGGATGAAAATATTTAGCTGGTTATTAGAAAGGAAAATGGGATAAATAAAACAGACATAAATAAAGTTAAAGCAAAGGTTTTATTAAAACACTGCCTAAGGTTGAATGGGCTAAAGGGACCCCCACTATTGGCCCCCCAACATTAAAGGACATCAGACAAGCCTGTTCTATTCACCCCAGTGTGAAAAAATTTAAAAGGTCAGGAGGTGAAAATCACAGTGAGAAACCTGACCAGCAATTGTTTGGGGCAAGAGTTGAGCTGCTCAGGTTGATAAAACTGTAAAGATTAAAGTGTTTAAGCTAATATGATATGAAGAGGTTATGTCAACTTTGCCTGAATGTTTTGGGGAATAGATGTTATGTCTAACTGGAAATGCTTTCCCTACATAATACTGTAATATTGAAACTTGTTAATGGAGTTCTAATATAAGTTATAATTAAAAGTATAAGAGTTGGTAAAATTAAGATAAAGTTTTGTAAAATTGGTATATTTAAATGGGGCAATTTCAGTTTGCCCAAACTGACGTATGTAATTGAAAAAAGCCAGCTACAAGAATAGGAAGCCTGTTTTAATCTTTTGAGCCTTCTAAATAAAATAAAAAATACTTTACTGCCTCTTTAAGAGAAATTAATTAAATAATTAAACATGACAGTGGCCTAGGCCAAATCTGCTGCTTCTCTCTCTTCTCTCGCTGAGATGTGCCACTTCAACTGCCCTGAAATTCCTGATTTAAAATTAAACAAGTAAAAATAAGTAAACTTTTGAGACAATTTGGAATAGTAATGGCCATTCTGGAGAATCTCTGTTTCAGATGAGCCTACCTTAGAGGTCACTCTTAAAAAAGAGGATTCAAAGTCTCTCGTAATGAAATACAGTCTTTGATTACTATACAGAAACTTTTAAAAGACGAAGTTATTAACATGACATAAAATGATCCTTGGTAAATAAGATCCTGTTCGAGTTTGCTGCTTTGATTTAAAATAGACATATCCTTAGAGTTATTGACATCGGCTACAATGCAGACGTACAGCCTGGGTTGACTGGTCAAATGAGCTCATGTTATCTCTGTTACAAAATTTATCAGCAAAACCAATAACTCAGTATAATAGCTGATTTTGTTTAATGTCTCATGAGATTTTTACAGACGATCTAAATGTAATTGTTGAGAACAGGTAAACTAGGAGTAAAAAGATAAAGGTTTTGGAGAAACTTTTTAACAATAATTATGTATTATGATGTACGTACTTAACTTCAGATGATGGTTAACTGCTTTGATGTCACATGAAGTTTTTAAGAGTAATTAAAATATAATTGTTAAAACTGGGTAAGAGTTTTTAAGTACAATAATTATGTTTTATGGTATATATACTTAAAAAACAGCTTCCAAAATCTTTTTGGAAACAAACTTTATAGCTTTACTAAGTTAAGTTAAATGACAAAACCTATTGAATATCTGGGTCACTTTTGGATAGGATGGAACATTGAAACATTATTGCTGAACATGTCTAAGTTTATCTACTTTGGGCTTCCTTTTACAGAAAAACTGAAAGGTGTTTGGGCCTATTAATAAACACACCTTGTGTTTTATTACTATAAAGTAACATGGTTCTAAAAATTATAAAAAGTATTTGTAAATTTGCCAAGCCACAGAATGCTAATGTAAAGAAAAGTTTATAACTGCTTACTTGGTTTTTACTTGTAAATTAAGGTTTCTAATGGTTAAGGATTCTAATTATTATATTAATTAAAGTTACTAAAAATTAATAAGGAAAAAATCTTTATATTCAAGGAAAGTAAAATGCATGTTTTCAGTAAAAAGGTATAAAAGGTAAAAGTATTTTTGCTTGTTGGGTTAAGAAAAGATAAATTTGTCCTAAAGTACTGGGACAAATTCTGAATGTAAAAAAAGTAAGTGACAAAAGATTTATAAAAGTAAAACCCTGAAGAGTTTTATGTATGACCAAGTTGGTTGAGATTAAAAAAAAATTTAATTAGGTAAATAAATTTAAATGCCAAAAGTAAACTGGTACAAAATTAAATCTGTTTCTTACAAAAAAGATAATTTTCTTAAACTTTTAGTCTGCTCTTGGTAAAAAAAAAAAAAGATTATAAAAGGTTTTTTCTTTGAGTAGTCTACCAGAAGGATAAGGATT